ATTCTTAAGCACGGTGCCGAGTTGACGTCGACGGATTGTCATTGCCACTTTCGGCCACCGCAGCGATATTTTCGACCGCCCGAACTAGACGAGCACGTAAACGTGTTGTTTTATCCATGAACGATCCAGTCTCACTCACACGCTTCACAAAACTATCCACAAACTGCCTGGATGTTGGAATCACGAGAGTTCGCATTTGTGCTGTCAAATGTCGTTCGCATTCCAGGAACATATTTTCAAGGAAACCATCTAAACACATTATTGTTTGATTAATAGCTCCAATAGGATATTTTGAGAGCGCATAAGTTCCTGTAGCGTTTGCTTTATTGCTACCATTGTGTTGGCTATAGTTACCAGCATTGCTTCTACGCCATTAGGCAATTGTGTATTTACATTCGCATGTTAGCCAGTAGTATCTGGAATCTGGTTCAATGTTTGTTGCCGCACTTTATCAGCAGTGGTTTGCTGGCCTGTCAGCTTAGATACTGAGGCATTAATCACGTTGTTGTTATTTAACGCCTGTGCAAAAGAGACTCCCGGGATCGTGGTCGTTGGTATAAATGGAGAAATGTTTCGGGTTACAGGATTTCGAGCTGCAGTTATATGTTGACCTAGTCGACTTTTCAACTCTTTATAGACAGGACAACCACTGCAATTTGCAGTGTGGTTTCCCCACAATTACTACATTCTTTGGCAGAATGTTTGTTTACTGGGCAGGCCTCTCTTGAGTGTGCATCTCCGCAGGCATCGCAGGCTGAACGTAAGTCCATTAAGTTTTCGTATGGCCGTATTCCTGTCAATTCATGCATTATACGGGCCCATTCCGCTTGTAGGGTTCCTCAAGGGTGATCCTACGGTGCAGCAGATAAGGAAGCTTATAGATTGGGTGAACTTCATTGTTTTTTTAAATGCATACTTTCCGGCTCCAACTTATTTTATTTAATATATTCCCAGCCTGTTTGACATTAAAGCCCTTTTCTTTAAGTTCAGCTATAATCTCACATATAGGGACTGTTGCCTCGATTCCTTTAATAACTAGGGGAGGGTGGTCCCATACCGACCCCCTAAAAGGCAAAGGCGATAAAGGTGAGAAAAATCAATTTTTCAGTTCAGTTCAAAAATTTACTATGTAGAGGGATAAGTTTACTATACATCTAAATGATTAGTAAGTGCGTAGGTGCTTTGAAGCGTTAGATATTCAGGCAAATATAAAACTCTACTTTTTGGTCGTACTCAAAAGTAGTGGTCCGAAACCGACCCCCTATTTCTTAACAGAAAAATTTAATAACATAAAATAGAATTTAATGATTTTGACGTTTATTAAGAAGTATATTGAAGGTTCTTTCCAGAAAATAAAAATTAATGTATGAAATAAAGGGCAATGTAGTCAATTGATGAAGTCTGAGTTGTCCTCTTTCTCATAGTAAGTTTTCGCGTTGTTTTCGCGTTGTTTTTCGAAAGCCGCTCGTTGATGACTGTCTCTTCGCTTTCTTCTGATGTTTTTGCTGTTTCTGTTACTTTTCTTTACTGAATCTTGTTTACTTTTTCATATTTTCCGTCAAAAATACGCTATGACATATTAAGCTGCCAATAAATGGGGGTCGGTTTCGGACCATCACCTAGCGGTCGGTTTCGGACCACCACGACCTTTTCTGATTAAGTGCTCGGCATTAACTAAAGACGCAAAGAGCGATGTAATTCTAATTATTTGAGGGAAAGCTAGGACTATCAACGATCAGAAAAATTTACTCTCCGATTTTTATGCGGAGAAAAAAAAACTTTGAGCTCAAGTTCAGTAAAGCTCAAAAATAAATGTCACAGGCGTTGAAACAAAACAAACGGAAAAATTGCAGTGAAACAAAATAAGTCAAAGTAACTATCTATCTCCAAAATGTCTGTGTTATAACAGCTTTTCACTGAAGTTACCGACAATTCGGCTAGCATCGCCATCTCTGAGAAACATGGGGGGTCGGTATGGTACGACCGGTCGGTATGGGACCACCCTCCCCTACTTGTAATCCTTTGCTTTGTTGTTGTCGAGGTGTTTGGCCACTGATCGATAATCTTGTTCGTTGTCCACTTGTATTTTTTACCCTTTCTGAGCAAAGGATATTATTATTTCAGTCAGTAGTTTGAAACGCAGTGAAGGAGACACCTCAGACCCCAAAAAGTATATTTATTCTTGTTCAGCATCACGATCATAATCGAAATACTTCTGTACGTCTGTCTGTTTTAAAGCCATCTTGCTGAAACTTTCCCAAAAGTTGTAAAGTTATTGAACGCAGTATATAAGTCGGAACGGCAGGATCGGCCTACTATATCGAATACTTTCCATACGAGAAAATATAAGAAATGAAAAATTCTCACGCCATTGTATTTGATCTGATCGCATTATACACATCCAGTAGTTTTTTGGAAAGGGTATCTTAGGATGTTTCTATGTCTTGCACAGATCTTACTACACCTGGCATAGCTGCGAGCTTCGAACAGATTTTCATTTAAAATTTTTCCCAGTTTGTATATTGACTGTTGTCTTCGAGAAGAAGGATGTTCTTTTAAGAACTTTCCATCCAGCTACCAGAGTCTCCGTCCCGTTACAACTGTTAGGTCAAGCAGGTTAGACAAGGTAGGACCCACAAAGATATGTTACATACCCAGGTTTGCCTCATAAAGGTTAGTTGATGGTAGGAGGTGTGTTCAAAAAGTATCGCGAACCTTGTGTTTTTTCAAAAATTATTTATTTATGAATATCTATTTTGTCCCTTTCAAAGTAATCCCCATATTATGAACTTGTGCCAACGGTTTTTCCAATCTTCGAAGCACTTCAAAAAATCATTTTTTTTTATCTTGTTCAGCTCCTCCTTCGATGCCGTCTTTATCTCGTCAAGCGTACCGTAACGTCGTCCTTTCATGGGCCTTTTCAGTTTAGGAAACAAGAATAAGTCACAGGGGGCCAGATCTGGGGAATTCGGTGGCTGCGGCATCATTAGTGTGTTGTTTTTGGCCAAAAAGTCGCGCACAAGTAACGATGTGTGAGCAGGGGCGTTATCGTGCTGCAAAAGCCAATTTTTGTTCTTCCACAAATCCGGGATTTCTGGCGGATTGCTTCCCGCAAATTGCGCATAACTTGCAGGTAATATTCCTTATTGACTGTTCTTCCCTGTGGCAAGAACTCATGATGCACCACGCCCCTGCAAAAACTTTCACATTCGACCGAACTTGAAGTGCTCGGGCGTCCGGCACGCTCTTCGTCGTTTACATCTTCTCGGCCTTCTGAGAACATTTTGTACCACCGATAAACGTTGCTTCGGTCCAAGGTAGCTTGTCCGTATGCCACAGTCAACATTCGGAATGCATCCACGCACTTAATTTCGTTTTCCACACAAGATTTGATAAAGGTTCTTTGATCCATTTTTTTGAATAGGTAAAAATCGGAGAAGATCCAAAAGACGTGCAAGCAAAGCAGCTTTCAACAATTATGTGAACATTCAAAATGGCCGAGCTTGTCGGCATAAGTGAGAGACATGAGTACCAACATAACGCCACAAAAAAAATCGAAATTCGATACGAGGTAACCGCGAAAATTCAAAATTCCCGATACTTTTTGAACACACCTCGTATAAAGTCTAGAAGTGACTCATTTTTTTCGTTAAAGTCAAGGCTTTCCCCACACGCTATGGTGCGCGTTGGTGTCTGTACCCACGAGGAGTTGCTAGTATTTCCGGCCGTCTTCCTTCAGGCTCAATATTTCTTTCTGTGGTGCCGACTTGACATGCGCCCTATAGCATAAGGCTACCACTACCGTTTCTCCTTGCTTTCCAGCATCACCACAGTCAGGTCGTAAGAGCTGTAATAAGGCATTGAATTAGCATGGATAGCCTCCTGGGTTTCTGTTCCTGCTTACCGCTGCTGAAATGAAATTGTTGTAACTTGAGGTCTTCAGTCCGGCTGCGGCATTGTGCGGGGTGACCTATAGCGACGATGGGCGCTTACACCATGGCTCAATGTCATGGAGCTTTGCCGACGCGACCTTGCTCTTATGTGGGTTAAGCGGCCGCACCCGTACCGCGGGTAGAGGATGCCCCCTTGCAGGATCCAGTCTGCCCACGGGATGTTTGGATTCTGTCCCTGCAATAGCATCAACGCCTTACCGTGGATTGCGTGGGGAAAAGTATCTTTGACTTTGGTAGAATCAGGGTTAACTCCCTCACCACCTCCTGCTTGGCCCCCTTCTACAAAGCAATTAGTTGGCTGACCGTTTGCGTCAGCCATCCCAGAGTTGGGTCGTTCCAGCACTTCAGGACTTTGACATTCCGCCACCCAGGCATGGGAGCTGTTAGGGCCTCATCCATCCGTGCGAGCAGCGATTCCACAAGTCGCGCGTACACTGTCTTCCACCGCGCCTCGGTCATCTTGCCGTTCTCATCACCTCGGTCAATGAGTGCCACAATCAAGTGTCGGGCACATTATCACTGCCGTTGGCTTCTTTGCCACTTTGGGTCTTGGCCTTCGTCCTTGGGGCCCTCATTTCTGCATGCTCAGGCGACCGTGCTTGACGGCACTCTTGTGTGAGCGTTGCCTTTTGTTGACAAGGAGCAACTCCACCGTGTTGGTGAGTCCGCAACTCGTTGACTTCAGTCTGCCCTTATCAATAGTTTGCTCAGCCCAGGTCAGCTGGAGCCCGCTCTTGATCTTGAGAGTCGCCGATGTTGTTAATTTTCGTTAATTTTGTATTTATCTTTCAAACGGGAGGAAATTGATATTGGTTAAAAAAAAATGTATTTTCGAGAAAATAAATATATTAAATTTCCTAGAAAAGAAAATCATTTTGTTTACTAACGTTTTTGTGCTATTACGCATACAGGTGAATTTGTAATTGAGCAAGTGGTCGGCCGTCAAAGTCGCAATTGGTTTGAATAAACTAATAAATAGCATATTGAAACTTAAAAATAAATTGGCAAGATATATTTTAAAATCTATTAAAAAATTTTATTTTTTAGAGCAATCAAGTTTGAGGAATCGCCAACAGCCAAAAAAACTAAACTGGAGCTAACAAACAAAAAAACGGAAGAAGATGAAAAGATAAAACTTATAAAGAGTCAAAATGATTTATTTTTTAAGTTTCGAGATGAAATTAAAAATGTTATGAAGAAGACAGATATTGACCAACTTTTAAAGTTAAATAATCAACAGCCAATAACTGGTGATTCCGAAAGGTTATTAGATCAAGCTGCAGATTTATTGACATTTGGTGCTATAGAGTCATGTTCTGAATGCGGCAGTTCTCAGTTCATTTTTAACAACTCTGGCTATGTATGTAACGGAAATCTTTCTGAGTGGACCAAATGCACCAAGTTATTAACAGAACCGATCAGATCAGCGTGCAAGGTTCCAAAAGATCTTAAAAAAACGTATACTTTCTTAAACCAAGTAAAAAAACAACCATCAACACGTTTATTTCAATTTCTTCCTCCTAGTGAAGGTACTCTATCAAAAAATCAACTTACAAAAAAATGTAGCGATGAATTTGATAGGTGAGTATAAAATTAAAGTAAATTATTTATGTTTTACTCTAATTAAAAATTGCTTTCATTAATATGCAAAATATCATCTAATCCAATCCCAATATTTTAGTCAATTTTATTTATATTTATAATTATACCCCCATTGCAGAGCAAAGGTACTATAATTTCAGTCAGAAGTTTGCAACGCAGTGAAGGAGACACCTCAGACCCCAAATACGTATGTACGTCTGTCCGTTTCTCTTCAAACTAGTCTCTCAGTTTTATCTTGCTTAGTAGCTACAACCGAGAAAATCTCCAGGCTGCGATCTAATAACTCCAAAAATGCTTATAGAACTCCCACTATGCGCCGTTGGTACCATATGCCAGCTGTTCAACGCGATGACAAGACTGGGCTGCTTCTCAAAGAGGTGGAAAAAGTCAATCATCATAATGATACCAAAACCAGGAAAAGACCACACCCTCGCCTCCTCATACAGACCGATTAGTTTACTTTCCTGTCTATCAAAACTCTTTGAAAAATGCCTTCTGACCCGTATCATACCATACTTCAGAAGACATAATATTATCCCAGCACATCAATTCGGCTTTCGCGAAAAACATGGAACTATCGAACAGGTGAACCGCATAACTTCAGAAATTCGAAGTGCATTTGAAAATAGGGAATACTGCACTGCGGTATTTTTGGACGTCTCCCAAGCATTCGACAGAGTATGGCTTGACGGCCTAATGCATAAAATCAAAATAATGCTCCCTAATAACACGCACAAACTCTTGAAGTCATATCTTTACAACAGAATATTTGTGGTGAGATGCAATACTTCCATATCAGCTGAACGTAACATCGAAGCAGGAGTTCCTCAAGGGAGCGTTCTCGGGCCAACTTTATACCTACTCTACACTTCTGATATTCCTACGAGCAGTCAACTGACTATGTCCACGTTTGCCGACGACACCGCGATCCTCAGCCGATCTAGATGTCCACAACAAGCCTCAGCGCAACTTGCGGCACATCTAGAAGTAGTGGAGAAATGGCTCTCAGACTGGCGAATAAAAGTAAATGAGCAAAAATGCAAACAAGTAACATTTACCTTAAATAGACGAAACTGCCCAAATCTTACACTAAACAACATCGTGCTCCCCCAGTCAGATGATGTAACATATCTTGGCGTACATCTCGACAGACGGCTTACCTGGCGCACGCATATTGAAGCTAAACGAACTCATCTAAGGCTGAAGGCAAATAGTTTGCATTGGCTGATCAACTCCCGCTCCCCACTCAGTCTGGACTACAAGGTCCTTATCTACAATACAGTTTTGAAACCAATCTGGACTTATGGCTCCCAGTTGTGGGGCAGCGCCAGCAACAGCAACGTAGAAATCGTGCAGAGAGCCCAAGCAAAGATCCTAAGAATTATCACTGGGGCACCGTGGTACGTTCGGAGTGTAAATATTCAGAGAGACTTGAATGTACTCCCCGTCCGAGATGTAATAGCGCAGCACATGCAAAATTACTACACAAAGCTGTCAACTCATCCAAACCACCTCGCTAGAGCATTGACGTTGGTATGTAGCCGCTCCCGCCTTCGTCGTAACGACCTTCCCATCCAGCGATAATTATTAGGACAGTCTAACATAAATACAGTTTAACAAATTGTTAGAATAATGTAGTACTTTAAGATTTTAACACATTTTGTTAGTCTCGTAAGAGAAGATTCAAAATAAACAAGCAAAGTCTAAAAAAAAAAAAAAAAAAAGTTTTATCTTGCTGAAACTTTACCGAAAGGTGTGTAGTTATTGCACGCAGTATATAAGTCGGAACGAGCCAGATCGGCCGACTATATCGGATAGCTCCCATACAAGAGGTCAAAAAAATAAAGGATACAAAATTATTACGCCGTTGTTTTTCATCAAATTGACTTGATTTCTTCCAGATGGCGTTTTCTAATTATTATTGAATTTTGGATTAAATTTTATCAAAATCGGATAACCCTATCATATAGCTGCCATAGGAAAGATCAAAAAATATATATAGAAATAATGGCAAAATAATCACAACGTTATTGTTTTTTATTCCACGAGCATGATTTTTACAACATCGACTTTATGAACTACCCTTGAACCGAGAAAAAAATTTCATAAAAATCGGAAAACTATATCATATATTGTAGCTGCCATATGAACAATAGTCGAAAATATGGAAAACTAGAGGTCCTGTGTCCGCTTCGCTGGTCAACACAATTTAACAACATAAAAGTCAAAGTCATTTTTCAAATATATGGAAGTATAGAAAGATGGTGATTTAACACTTTTCCAGTTTGACTTTTCCACTTGGGCAGCACAAACCAGCCGTTTCTCTTTTAAACCTTAACGCACTGCAATATCGGTATATAGTTGCCATTGGTCCAATATCTAAATTTTCATTATCACTGTAGTTCGCAGTGGGGTCATATTGGAATGCCAAGCGATTGAATGATGCCAATGATCTCCATGTGCTCATTTGTCTTTCTTTGCTTAAGTTTTGTGAATATACTGGCTGCTGGCTTGGATGTCTGCGGCCAATGTTTGAACGTCGTCCTCTAAGCATTTTGGACTATGGACAGAGTGGTGAATTTATCCTCAAATGCACGATTCACATAATTTTCACAGTTCAACTTAAATTGAATAAAAATTCTTTTTTTCACAATTTCACTGTGAACACAAAAATTGAGTTAAAATGCTATGGGAGCTTGTTTGTCAGTGTGATGAGGGAGCAATTCACTTTATATGCGACAATATTGCAATTTTCTTACGGATCCCTAATTTTTTTCAAAATAAATTATAGCCTATTTAACTCCACGATAATGTAGCTTTCTATCGGTAAAAGAATTTTTTAAATCGGACCAGTAGTTTCGGAGCCTATTCCTTGCAAACAAACAAACAAACAAACAAATTTTACCTCTTTATAATATTATCTTTAATCTTTATTATCTTTATAATCTAATATATAAAATTCTCGTGTCACAGTTTTTGTGCCTATACTCCTCCGAAATGGCTACACCGATTCTCATGGAATTTTGTGAGCGTATTGAGTAGTTCTGACAATTACCCAACATCTATTTTTCATCCTCTTATATCCAGTTCGACATACCAAAAATCGCATATAAAGTGAGTTACTACCTCATCACACTAACAAAAACACACTACCATAGCATTTTAAATCAATTTAAACTGGGGCAAAAATCCTTCATCATTAAGTAAAATCATTTATTCTATTTATGAGTGTTTTGTCCAGTGAGCTATGCCAAGAAAACGCAAAGCGGGTACCGTGGTACAAGTAGATCTCGATACATGCGAAATAGAAGATCCGAAAGAATAGCGCAATTGCATCAAGAAGAGCCAGAAGATACACGAGCTGAACGCAATGAAGTCAGAAGATTAGAACAACGACAACCACACCGTGTCACAGTCAATAGAGGCAGAACAAATGACCATCAACGACAACAGGTACATCGAGCATTTATGTATATATGATTCATTACTGCGTCTAGCAATCCAGTATGAGGCCGATATTAAGTATTATGCTCACTCAAAAGTGGTAATTGGTGCTATGGACAAGGAATGTCCGCATTGTCATGCTTTGAAATTTAAAAATGAGCCAGCTGGGATGTGTTGCGCACTTGCCAATCAACCAACTTGAATGCACGTTGTGATTATAATAACCTTGATTCATTTTTTGCCAGACGCAATTATAATAACTTAAAAATAATGTTTGCCTTTTGTTATTTTTATATTCCCTCATAGTTCAAAGCTCTCCAAATAACTTTATAATACATACGTCTAGAACTGAGTGCATTTTGTACAGAAATTGTAAAGTCTTCTGGTGGCAAAACAACGTTTGTAATTTCAGTCAGAAGTTTGCAACGGATGAAGGGGACATTTCAGTCATCATAATATATATTTTTATATATAACCTTGATCTTGCTATGTACATATGTATGTCTGCATATCTATCCGCCAGTGTGTTTCTATTAGAAGTAAACTAGTCTAGGTTTATCCTTGCAGACAGTATTTTAATATAACATTTTCACCATCGGAGACACCTCAGACCCCATAAAGTATATATATATACAGGGTGGGCCATTTAAAGTTGACCCACTTGATTCTTAAAACAAAAACAAAAAAAGTGGACAATTTTTGTTTTATTCCAAAAATCATTTATTTTGGTCCAAGGAGATTTTTTACAAATTATTAATAATGATATCACGTAAATGGGCACCTTTAGCTCTGACAGCCGAATGCATTCTTTTTTCAGCATTTTCCATGACTTTGGTCAATGTTTCAGACGATATGGCGGCTATTTCACGTCTAATGTTGTCTTTTAGTTGACTTAAGGTTTTTGGTTTATTAGCGTATACCTTGGATTTCAAATAACCCCACAAATAAAAGTCTGGTGCCGTCAAATCTAATGATGATGGGGGCCAGTCAAAATCACCACTTTTCGATATCAACTGCCCAGGGAACAATGTTCGCAATAAATCGATTGTTGCTCTAGCTGTATGGCAAGTTGCCCCGTCCTGTTGAAACCATAAGTTATCCATGACATTTTCACGAATAATAGGCATCAGAAATTCGGTTATCATTACTCGATAACGCTCACCATTGACGGTTATCGTGGCTCCATCATTGTCTTCGAAAAAATACGGTCCGATGATCAAATTCGCGCATATTCGTTGCCTGGATACATGACTGGCATTACTTAGATTACCGGTGTTTACAGATTTTGCGTACAAAGACTTAATTGTGTTTTTAACTGGAGCACTTTTAACTTTATTCATTTTACGAAACGCACGTTGGGTTAACACAATTGATAATTTATTTTCAATGTAGAGCTGAACAATTTGAGCGCGTTCCTTTGGAGTGTATTGTTCCATGGTATCAATTGTCTTCGACTGACGCTTCCAACGTGGTATGACATTTGACGATCTGTCGACGCTGTCAAAAGTTACAGGGTTGCCAAATGGGTCAAATTT